AGATTGTAGAACTAAGTCAATACTTAGTTCGTAGTTCATGATTGAAATCAATTGAGACACTTCTCAATGTCAATCATCTTCAGTACCTTAGCACTGATTGCAGATTCCTCTGTCATTACGCATCCGTATAGTTGCTTGGAAGTCTCATATCCTTCCACACATGATTATTATCATACAACTCTTTGTAATGAAAAATCATGTGTTAACATCTATACTCTCAAGTTATTTTTGTAACTCATGTGACATATTTGTAAGCATCACATGTGTGCAGTACTATCGTCATCACTATGTTTATTACAGTACCCACATCTTCCTCAATCGAGCCATCAACAAGTGTCTTTGGAAAGGGCTACTCAAGGACGTAACCAATTTTCTCATGCATGAGAACAATTCTCAAGTTGCGGTGCTAATCAAGAAAATTTAATCTGGTTGTTGGCATCCAGTATGCCACTCAAATACACATGGTTACTCACGATAAATTTAAATGACGAAAAGAAAAGAATAATATATAAAATGCATCAATTAATTTAACATAGATTTTTATTAAATTAAATATACTCTCACTATTTAACTAAAATTTATGACCCTCTCACATACAACTCCTAGATCTTTAAGCTGACAACTCTTTGTCTTCACACATCTTATGTGTTAGCTCAATATGCCTCTAAAATTTCTCTCCTTGATTGTCTTCAGCAAAAGATAATTTTTAGTTAAGTCAAATTCATCATTTAAAAATATCAAATATTTCATAGTATCAAACATATCCCTAATAGACCAGCCTTGAGTGTACTCTACAAGTTGAGACGATTTGGGACTCTAATTCTTCACTATAATGATAAAAGGGCGATTATAAATGTGACTTAATATTTTATCGAGGGGTTTTACATTCAAAAGTCTCATCGTAACAATCATATATGTTGTATTATACATCTACCATACAAATAATAATAATAATAATAATAATAATAATAATAATAATAATAACAACAACAACAACAACAGTGTGGACAATTATGGACTTTTATTATCTAGTCTTCCCGAGCCATAAGGAAGACTAGTTGGTCGATTCCTAAGGGGTATAGTATTGATTCAGTATCAATGTACATGGTTTCCTCATCTTCGTGTGTCTTCAATTAGCCCAATTACAACATGTATCATATACTAGTTGTCATGCAGGCTTAGATGAAGATGGACTCACAGGCCCATAATAATAACAACAATAACGAGTTTGCAGGCTCAAAACAATTAAGAGCTCGCAAGCTCATAAAATGACAGGAATAAAATTAACCATTCAACACATCCACCTGGTCAATCCATAATCGTCCACTAATAATACATTCATTTCATAAATGTATGCCTATATAATATCTAATATTATATGCAAACACGTTTCAAGTTTCTAGTAATTAAAGTCGTCTAAACTCTTTTAGACAAATGGATTGGAACAATTAAATAATTAAATAATCATATTAATCAATTAATTTAATTAGCATGCATATTTAATTAAAATCAGATTTTAATTAAATATTGAATTAGAGTCCAACTCTAATTCCACAATTATAAGGCGGGACTACTTAATTAAAATCAAATTTTAATTAAATATCAAATTAGAGTCCAACTCTAATTCAAAGATTTCAAGGCGAATTTTTATTTAATCAAAATCATATGTTAATTAAATACCAAATGAAAGTCCAACTCTAATTCCAAGAAGAAATTTAGAGCGAGACAGTTTAATTAAAATCCAATTTTAATTAAACACCAAATTAGAGTCCAACTCTAATTTCGAGAAAATTTTAGGGTGAGATAATTTAATTAAAATCAAATTTTAATTAATTATCAAATTAGAATCCAATTCTAATTTCAAGAACATATTTCGGTGAAAAATTAATTAAAATTAAATTTTAATGAAGTACTAAATTAGAGTCCAACACTTAAATTGAATGAATATTTTAATTTAGGATAAAACTCCTAAACAAAATAAATTAAATTTGGGGTCATATTTAATATTTAAGTTAAAATGTAATTTTAACGCAAATATAAACAATCGTCAATTTTGAATCAAATTTTACTTTGGGTCAAAATTAAAATTATGGGTCAAACCCATTTAAAATATAATTTAAAAACCATTTTAAAATTCAATTCAAATTCAAAATCATAACCATTTTGCAATTTACAAATTGACCCAAGTTTAAAAATTAATAGACAACCCTTAGAAATTTCAGAAATAACAATTTGGGCCCTTATGTTAAAATTGCATTATGACCCATCTTATACTATTGCAGACAAGGGTTTGCAATTTCATAAATTGCATAAGTGGCCTCCATCCCCAACTTCATCACCCGATTGTTGGAAAGCCTAGAAGCACTTGAATTTTTTTTTTTTTTTATCTTTCTTCCGGCGCCGCATAGATTGCCCATGGCAAGGAGCTCAGCAACGCTCCCTGCCATGGGCAATCTAGCAGCGCTACACGCTACTGTTGCAGCGCATGCCGCTATAAATCTTAGTAGCACTTGTTGTTGACGCCACAGTCGGGGGGGCGGGGGGGTCACCGGCAGCCCAATCCATTAATTAATTAATTTTATTTATTTATTTATTTTTTTGGGTTTTGTTTTCAAAATCAAATTTTGAAATATGAAAATCAATTTTTCCTTTTTATTTTAAATTAATTCGAAAATCAAATTTTCAAATTGCTAGAAACAAGAAAAATATGTACAATCAACATTTGATTACTCAATCATGTAAATCAATTCCTAAAAAACACAAAGTAGGTTCTGATACCACTGTTGTGAATTTATTTAAACATGCGCAGCAAAAATAAAATAATTTTCAATTCCCACCGAGAATCGTCTTTGTGTTTAGATAGAAATTATGATAAAAATGTACCTTTTACAAGATTTACAAACTCTTTTACTATTCATTCGATCCAACGATCTTGATTCGTCATTCGCGGCTGTCCAATTGTCCAGCCTCCAATGGTGATCCACACAGAGAAAAAGATTGTAGGATTATGATTTTTCTTGTGCTAGCAAGAAGAATGAATTTTCTCTACCAAATTGTAAACTCTAATAACTTATTTATATAAGCTTAAACGCGCTTGGCCTGACCCGGTCCAATATTTAATTAACCCATTTAATTAATTCTGATTCGTGAATTAATTAATCCAATTAATTAATCTATCCAACGCTTAGTAAACTAATTAATTGACAAATCATAATCTTCCAGTTCTCTTTTGTGTGCGATCCATCAGATTCCCGATCACGATGCCTAACGACGTGAAATATTATTTTGATCTAATCAAAATTGATAAATTAAAACACATTTTTAATTTATCACTAATTCACACTCGCCGTTTCAGATTGACATCTAGCAATTGTCAGGGCAATACATGTGATAGAAAATGTCACGTGGTATGACAAAACCAAACTCGTTTGTTTACCATGAAACTATAATCCTTTCGTCAATATGATCTGATCAATTACGAGGTATGAAAGTGTGTCAATCTCGATTATTGATAATATCTTTCACTCTACTATTAAGTCAATATAAGTTAAAAACTCCTTTTCGACTTACGAGTACACCTTGGCCAAGGATTTCATTATCGACTTAATTGAATGAAATGCAGAGCATAATTTTTTACTATCTAAGAGCGACGAATCATCTATCGATCATTCACGATCTTCATACAATTCTTGACATACCTGAACGATACCGTATTAGCGGCCCTTGACAGAGTAACATCCAACACCGTCAAAGCATGACTGTCCACATATAAGATTCTATAACGACCTCAAGTCAAAGGACCAATCTCACTATCGAACGTTAAAGATTAACCATTGATACTCAGATAATTATCCACATGGAATCTCTAGGCGGATCTCCAATATTTTGTTCTATAACAAAACATCTACGTGTTTATTTAAGTGTTACCACTTTTTAGCTTGTGAGATTAGTTACTTATTTCACAAGTAAGAAATGCCACACGTGATTTTCTATCTGTAATAACGATATCCGTATCTCGTTATTACTTACGATCACGGACGATTTAAGATTCAATCATATGTAATTTGTATCTCACAGTCACAACTCCTTGTGATTAACAAATTACGAAGATTTGAATTTACAGACTCTATTATTTAATTTTGTTGTCTATTAATTAAATAATAGATATGACATTAAATCGCATTAATTATATATTAAAAGTATTTATGTCCAAAATTGATTTGACCTAGAGTATAACATTTACATTGAAAAGTATAGTGAGCAATCAAATATATCTTTTAAAGTGCAATGAACAATCAAAGACGTCTTTTCTTATGTGACAATTTGGTGTTGGCATTAGGGAGCCACCTATCCATTCCATTTGCTATGTCATCAATTTCGTTAAAAATGTTTAACGAATGTCATGTAAGTGAGTAATGTATAATATTTTGATAAGTTTAGTAGTCAAAATTCGACATTTAAAACTTTGCCCCTATCTGGCTCCCATTATTTGAATTTATAATTGGGGTAGTATTTTTTTGAAAATTGTGTGATTGAAAAGTTTTTAATTTGAGTGTAATATTATTTTATTGAAAATTGTATGGTTGAAAGTAAAAAAAAGAAAAGATAAATTAAATTAAATTAAAGAATTTTAAAGGGTGCCAAACGGTCTTTATTGAGCAGCCAAAGATACATAAATTCGGTGATTATTTGGACAATTAATTCGTTTTAGTACCGAACGTGGAAAGATGGTAATAAATCACCGAATTCTTGAAAATTCGTCGTTTAGCCCTTTGCCAATTGCCATACATGAAAGCAATCAACGCGCCTATTTATTTTGGCCGTCTCCCACATATGTTATTATACACGCATTTCCCGTTTTACCTGGGTCAAATTTTTTCACCAACAGATCACATCACGTATCTTTAAAGTTAAGGAACATCGCACCCCAGATTTTCAAGCTCCCATTTATTAACTCTAACTTTAGCTTCAGATTGGATTTTGCTTTATACAAGGTAATAATCTGTTTTCTTCTGTCTAGATATCATGAGAATTATGTGTTTCTAGAATTGAAGGCAAGTTTGTTTTGCTATCGGTTGCATCCGAGCCCAAGTTTTTTAGGCTTCATTTTTCGTGCTTTCCCATTGAAATTTATTGCCAGCAATAATTTATTTCAAATCTTGATCTGATTTGGTCGAATTGTTTTTTGCTCACTGTCTATACATGTAAATTATAGTTTGTACTTTTTATGGATTATCTGATTTTACCTTTGGTGAAAAAAATGGACTTGGTGTTATGGAGCGTATAACAGGGATCATCCATTTTCAGATAATTTATTTTAACTCTTTGGTGTTGTTTACTATATTCGTCCTCTTCCTTCTAAAATATTTTATGTGAAAATTCTCTTATTCTTTTACTTAATGAGTCTAATGAAAGAGTGGTATACCAAGGCACGGATCTTTCGGTTACATTTGCTTATCTGTTGTCTCACAAAGATAACTGAACATTCGGAGGTGATATGCGGATCACTGTACAATTGATTACCAGCATTTAGTTGCAATATGATTCTTTCAGTTGTGAAGTAAATATGCTTTGCCACTTATGCTACTTTGAATTAATTTCATTGGAGGGTGGAAGGAGGAAAACAATATTAAGTCCGATGTTGTCTCATTGCAGGTTTCAATCTAAAACATAAAAATCTTTCAAATTCAAATTTTTCTTTCTGCAATAGACAAACTGACGGATATCAGTTTTTCTCACAAATCACCTTTTCATGTTCCATTACTTTAAATAGATAAATCCTATTGTCTTGTTACTTGGTTACTCAGTTTGTTGGGGTGGAGTTGGGGTCATTTATGTGCCTGATGATTCCATGGATCTATATCTAGTTTGTAATTTTAAAAAAATCATATGAATTGTTGATGTAAATTTGAGTTCTAGGTGTTACATACAAATTTATCTCAGTGTTTGAACATGGCTTCTGAAAATTGTGGAAGCCAACGCTTCCACATTTTGGATTACATGGATATGTTTTATTGAGGGTGGAAGGGTGGGGGTTAAACTTTGGAAGACCATCTAAGAACTACTTGCGTTTTGTAACGCCTACTGGTTCATTTTATTTCCCTTGTCTAGTATTACATAATTTTGCAGCAATGTAAATTTAAGCTCATCAGCTGAAGAAACTAAGCCGCCATTTGGCAAATTTGTAATTGGTTTATCAAGAGAAGTAGTAGTAGTTCCCACGAAACGTGTGCATAATAATGTGTAGTAATTATGAATGTGTGGTTTGACGTTGAATGAATTTACAAATTATTTATAAATTCAGTACCCTAAAGGTGCATAATAGATGAGCTATTTTTTTGTCAATTGTTTCTGCATAAGTACTTTTACCATTAAACATGTTTTTCTGTGTCCTGGATATCTCAAGCTTGATATTGGATATTGGAAATTCGAAACAACTGTTGCAAGGAATCTTGGCTGTACTGCATAATTATTGTGCTGAGTAACAAAAAGGTATTCCACTAATATTCACTCAGTTTTAAAGATGCACATGCATGTTGATAGAATGTTGAGGATAAGTAATAGAAACAGGACCAGGACAGGCCTATCAGCCCCCAATTTCCATCCCCTCCTACTTGCTAAAATCTTACCCTTACTTTTCCCACCTCTTCTTCTTGTCATCTTTCTCTGCGCCTATTCTCCTTGTTAGTGGGGCCTTTTTGTTGTCTTGCCCCACGTGTTTATTACTATTGTTTTCGTGTGAAAATCTTCTATTTGCTATTATCCTATATGGTTTCTTTGTAATATTGAAAATACAAAATACATACAAAAAATATAGCTGTTTTAGATACGCTACCCTTCTCCATTCTTGTTTCTGGTGGAGCGTGGGCAGCAGCAGTCCATGCAGAGCTTGTCCTATTTGTCATCCTTATAGATTATTGGTTGTGTCATAACCATTTAATATGCCAATTTTTTATGATGGCGAACTGGGGTGTTGATTTACTACAGATCATCCCTAATTTCTGATAGAAAAGATGGATTAAAAGGTACAGAAAAACTTGTTCCTAAATAAGGCTTCTGTTTATTGATGAAGTTGCTTCTCTTTTTGCTGAACATATCTTTTGTACACTTGTATTTATTTGCCCATAATTTACGGCATACTCTAATCCCAAATCGGTCCTCATATGCTTGTTGAGCGTTATCGAATTAACAGTTTTCTACTTAGGTTTTAGTTTGGAAAATAGTCCTTGGTTGGGTTGAGATCTCATATAATTCTTTCTGTTTTCTGATGCATAAGAAAAAATAAATAAAGAGAAAGGTATGATTTTTCTATGTGCTGAACATTTTGTATTTTCAGTGGGTTAGGTTCATTATAATTGTGTTTGGTAGAATTAAAAAAGCATCTCTAATACAGCAGAAACTCACTCTGATTAATTTCCTTGTATACGGACACTTCAACTAGGGTAATGTGTCCGCGTCCGACACTCGTCGTATTCCAACACTCCTTGAATACTCTACAATGGTCATTTTTCTTTTTTTTTTATTCAAAAATATTGTATTTTTATCACAATGTTATTATTAAATAACGAATAGGTACTTTCATTTAAAAGATTCAACAAGAAAAATTAATAAATTGTATAGAACTGAATTTGTACTTTGTAAGTAAAAATTTTTAAAAATTTAATCAATATGTCGATGACATATCATGTCAATACTTTTTCAAAAAATCGCATGTCGGTGTGTTGATTCCATTTGAGGCCAACGATTATAAATGATTACCGATGTAATAGTAACTGTATTCCAATTGATTCTCTATATTAATAGTTGGTAATATGAGGGGTTATATTAGAAAGCTTTAATTGTTGCTTAGTTCTTGTGGGCTTCTAACTTAAGTCCTATTATTTGTCCAAAACTTGTTTGCTTCACTTCAACAGATGTCATTTTGATACTGATTGATGATGTTATCATATATGCAGTGGTTCATCTTTAAAAGTAACCAACGATGTGGAGATTCAAACCTTTTATGCCTAAAGAACAAAATGGGCTTGAAGGACGCACCATTGACATTGGCAATTTCAAAGTTCAAGTTCGTAATGCTATTGCTGAGGGTGGATTCTCCTATGTTTACTTAGCTCGAGATGCAATACACGTATCCAAGCAGTATGCATTAAAGCATATCATATGTAATGACGAAGAATCACTAGAACTAGTGATGAAGGAGACTTCAGTGATGAAATCACTTAAAGGGCACCCTAATATTGTCACTCTTCATGCCCATACCATCTTGGATATGGGTCGGACAAAGGAAGCTCTCCTCCTCATGGAATATTGTGAGAAGTCTCTGGTTAATGTTCTAGAGAGCAGAGGAGCTGGATTTTTTGAGGAGAAGCAGATCCTTCAAATTTTCAGGGATGTATGCAATGCTGTCTTTGCGATGCACTGCAAGACTCCACCAATTGCTCACCGGTAAGGGCTTATGATGTTTCTCACAAGTATTTTTGTTTTCATATGGATAATAACATTGTCAATATGGGTCAGTTTTAGACTGACTTGTACATTTACCAAAGTATATGCCACCATAAATTGTTATTTGATTGTGTGATTAACTTTTCAATCCTTCACATAGAAACGATATGAATTACTTGCAGTGGTATAGAGCATTATTGGACTAATTTTTTGATCTGCTGAACGAGAATATGCTTAAGACCTACTATTGCGGATTTCCTTATTCTTTCTTTATAATCTCATTTCCATGATGTAATAGATTGGGATTGTGTTATTGTGATATAACTGTATGCTAGTCTTCCTCGTTGAATTCCGTTCTGATTCTTCTTATTTTGACTTGTCTGCTTGTTTTCTGCATTGCATTATGTAGAGATTTGAAGGCCGAGAATCTTTTGCTTGGATCTGATGGATTATGGAAGCTGTGTGATTTTGGTAGTACCTCTACTAATCATAAGCGCTTTGAGAAGCCAGAGGAAATGGGAATTGAGGAAGATAATATCAGGAAACACACAACACCTGCATATAGGGCCCCTGAGGTACGAAGAACTTGCTATGAGGAACTCTGTTATTTGTGATGGAATAACTGTTTCACTACCCTTGGACTTTTCTTGGCTCAGATGTGGGATTTATATAGGCGAGAACTCATAAACGAGAAGGTAGATATATGGGTAAGTGGACGGTTTCTTCTACTGTACATGAATCCAGAAATAGCTTCGAGTTTTTTAATTTCATATTGAAGTTCTAGAAAAAATTATTATTAGCTTGTCACTTTGTAGGCATTAGGGTGCCTGCTTTTCCGCATATGTTACTTCAAGTCAGCTTTTGATGGTGAATCAAAACTTCAGATTTTAAATGGGAACTATCGGATCCCAGATTTGCCCAAATACAGTGCATCTTTGACAGACATCATCAGAGATATGCTTCATTCTTCCCCAGATGACAGACCAGATATTACGCAGGCAAGCTTTTTGCTTGATTGGCCATTCATCTCCTTAGGTTAGTTGTAGATATTTGTGCCCGTGGCCATAATAAGGGCTAATCTTGTTAATATTCTTATTTATTACTTTGTTTGGCACCTATTTTTCAGGTCTGGTTTCGTGTTAATGGTCTATTACCAGATGGGTTACAGAAGTCGTTACCTGACAGACCTCCAGAAATACCCCAGCAGAATGCTGCTGTGCACGGAGGTAACGACATTCTTCTCATGGTCTTTGTAATGGGGGGAAATGACAATAAAAAATTGTTATGTCTAAATCCAAATGGGATTTCAAATGGGGATAATTGGGAAATCTTTAATCAAATAACAGTGTCATAGAGATGTATCATGTATGCGAGAAGTTGAAATTCTGAAATTGTCCTATGGGCTGTTTGCAGGCATGGCAAGGCCCCTAAAAAAGTCTAACCCGATGCCTTGTAGAAGTCCACCACCTCCTCCCTTAGCTGAAGCTCCTCAAAATATATCATCACAGCCACATAATCAGGAGACGGATGGAAGCACGGGTTCATTAGGTGCTTTCTGGACCACTCAGCATGCAAAGGATTCAGTAGGCCAGGAGGACAAAGCCAGGCGCAAATATGATGAAGAATTTCCCGACAATTCCAAAAGCAATCCGACTTGCCATGTAATGATTTCTCGAAAAGAGGAAAATCTTCAATCCCAGCATGTCCAAGAGAAAGCACAAGTGAGATCAGTCAATGGACCTGGGAATGATCCTTCTAAGGACTTCAAAATAAATCTGTTCCCTGATGATTCTGACAATAATCGTGGCAGATCTAAACCAACCAAACCAGAGCAAAAGCCTACTTTTCAAAACGAGGTGTTCAATACTTTTGTTGCTGAATTTGATACTAATAAACTTAGCCCAGGAAGTTACTGTAGGAAATCGGCGAAAGAAGAGTTATTAGAGGCCGAGATAGAAAAGCTAAAAGAGCAGCTCACTGTTGCGTATACGGAAAAGGCTGAAATAACTTCCAGATATGAAAAGCTGTCTGCAATTTGCAAATCACAACGACAAGAGATGCAGGACCTGAAGCAAGTTCTTGCTGTGAGAACTCCATCCCCAAGCAGAGATGTCTCCAGAAACCAAGCATCTCCTGGAAGCCAACCATCTACAACTGAACAGGTATTTTTCCAACCATTATATTTGACAATATATTCAGGAAGAAAATGAGCTAAAACCTTGTTTATTGTACAGACTATGTTTGAGTCCTAAGTGTAACTAACATGCACATGTTAGCAAAATAAACTTACATCCTTCTTGTATTCTTCTCTATTAGCAGACAGGTAAGATTGAAGGAACGGTTCAGGAACTCCAACAAGGTTTTTTCGACCAAAGTTCTGCAAGCCCAGATCCTCAGTCGTGGAAGGCCTTCACTGATGATACCAAGCTACAAACAACATCAACAAAAAGTACACCTAAATCTGTTAGAACAAGAAACGGTAACCAAAATAGAAAGAACGTTGAACTAAATTCAGGTGCCAACACGTGGGGATTTGGAACAGATAATTTTAAAGCAGCTCCTTCCACAAGTCCTCAGTTCAATTTACGAGTTGATGAATTAAATAATTCTCAGCGCTTCAGTGAATCAAAGAATATAGAAAGTAAGCTGGCTTCCCACCCTGCTGGATGGGCTGGTTTCTAGTGCTTATTCTCTGCAAATGTGAAACATTCAGCATATAGAACACCTACATAATGCTATTTATGTCGACTGATTTGGAAGAGATGATGATCTGAATGAAAGATGGAAATACGAATTGGATTGGTTAAACGTTTTGTCATGTATGTTATGTATCAATGCAAGAATTAATTCCATACCTTATGGATGATATACAGACTTTGGATTGCACTTTCATTGATGGAAAAAAATGTTGTATTATTTACTGTTTTTTTGTTCAATAATCTTTACTTGCCTTTCCCATGTGGAAGATTGATTAATTGGTAACCGTGACTATACCTGTAAAGTTTGCAGGATTTAGTTGTGACTGTACTATGGAAATTTCTCTACTGGTACTGAAAACAGGCCGTGTGGCAATTTTACTGATATTAATTCATGCTCAACAAGGAAGCTAAGAAAAGACTTGACAAATATTACCAAAGCCTTTGGCAAGTTGACAAGTTCGAACAATTGGTTTTTGCCACCATACATTTTGATGAGGACATTACTTGTTTGGGCTAGCTTATTTTCTTGTGGATCATTTGCTATTGTTTTATTTTATTGGGCTTGTATTATTGGGTTTGGCCCAAGCCCACTTACTGTTTGGGTCTATTGGTTTCTCTATTTATAAGACTTGATAATTTAATTTCAAGGAGACGACGAAGAATTAGATTGGATGTTGTTTTGGCTTGAAGCCGTTTCCTCCTTCCCTCCTCTCTTTCCCCTAGTCTCTTCCCCGATTTCTTCCCCCTTTTTTGCTGCCCTCTTCGCCTTGTTGCTAGAATTTTTGTTCTTGTGCTACACAGCTATTTAAGTTCTCTGCAAGAATCATCCCACTTCTCCTGCATCAATTTTTAGTATCAGAGTCTAACCTGGTTTTCAATCTCTTTCATTGAAAATTGGAGTCAAAATTGACATGGAAGTGATACAAAGCCATATTGTTCAACACCATATATCCCTGACCAGAAGTTGATCCATCCATCCTCTCCAACCCGCACACAAACATCTGGCCAAACGCATCGTGACACCGTCCGACTACATACTGCAACTGCCAATACCCACTACCATACAATCATCCCTGACAGTTAACTCCATAAACCTTCAGCCTACTCTCCAATTTTAAATTCACAAACCCACCGCACCAAAGCTGCCTGCACAAGACAAACTCCCCACCTAACAGAGCCAAAATCTGGATTTCGTCATAAAAATGGTTGCACTTCTATCTGTTTATCCAACTCATCCAACGGTAATTGCTAACAGTTTCTTCTCTGCATCTGTTTCAGCAACCGCTTGGTAAAACAAACCTCCACAGCAACTATAACCTACAACAATCCCCAGCATCATCTTCAACACACACCATACCTGTTATTGCGAAACTCACAAAACTTCTTCATTAACACACACCGCCTTTCCACCTCTCCTAGCGCCGACGACCATCTCTTGTCTCCTTACACAACGCAATACCCACTAACTGCCAACCACCACCACTTACGGTGCCTCTCTTTTATGTTTAATTGCAGCAGCCAACAAATCCAACCAAAAAAAGAGGAGGAAAACTGCCCACTGCCACATCACAATCGGCCCAATACATACAATACCCATACTTAACAACAAGCCCAATACACAAAATAACCAAAAGAAATTCATACCACCCAGCAATCGGCCCAACTCTAAACCTCAACCCCCACCGTTGCTTGTGACCCCACTCCATCGAGTCGCACCCCTCTGCGACTTTCTCTCCTTGCCATTAGCTACCTTCCATAATCAATGTCGCCGCAAATTTCCAACAAATCATCCAACTTCGTCGCTATTCTTCAATTCCAATCGTCCCCTTCTCCACCCCGATCCAAATCACAAATCGACCCATCTCCTTCTTTAATTTCAAGCCACTGCGATGCCAGCAAATTTCGAAATTCCGGTTGACCCATAACCAATCTGCAGCCGTTCTCTCTCCCCAGTGGCTAGAGTCAATGTTGACAACCAAAGTTGGGTTGGTGATTTGTTTGTAGATTTGAAACTCTGAATTGGAACCCATAGAATTTTGCCTTCAATCACCACAGCCTTCTAATATTTCACGTAAGGGAAGAATTCATCACTCAAGTCTTAACTACACTCCAATTCAATTTTAAGAAAAAAAAAATTTTAATTCAAAACTCAGATAATAATTAATAAATATTATATGTAGAATAATATATTATATATCTAGTAAATATTCATTCTAATATCTCGAACCCTCTTCACTCTCTTTCTAATTTCTCGCCAATCTCTCTCTACAAACTCATCCAGCCATAGTCACTGGTATCTATCCTGTTTGCATCCCCTCTCACACCATGGTGATGGTACAGATCTAAATAAAACGGCGTCCAATTCAAAATCTATGAGTACAGTATCTTAAGGATAGCAGCTTCTTTGAATTTTTAATTTAACAAAAAATGACAAGAATTAATGAATTATCTAATTGAACTTCAATTTGAAAAATCGACTGGTAGTAGAATGATTGAAGGAATGAGATTTTTGGTGGTGTGATTTAAAATATTATAGATAACTGATTCGTCGATGGAGTGTAAAGTTGATTCAGATATTTGATTTATTATCTATGTAAATTTGTATTTTTTTTCCGATGTAATTTAAACTACATGTAAACTGTGTTACCTGTGATGTTGAAACAATGGCATGTGATCAATTCTCTTAGATCCCTAACCTTTGGACATTTATCTGTTATCTATGTTATTGATCTAATGGCCTGTGGCCAATTCTCTAAGATTTATGATATGTAGATATTGATATGTTTACCTATACAAAATGACTCATGGCTCATGAATTTAAATCTATGACATGTTAACAGTGCATAAAGACATGTGACATCTGATATGTGACTGATTAAGATTGATCTGTGACCTATATCCGTGCCTATACAATATAACTTATGACTTGCGAATGATGACCCGTAACCTGTGAACAAAATTAAGTTATATGTGATCTATGCACAATGACATGTAAATTATGACTATATATATGGTAAATATATAAGAAACATGTGACCTGTAAATTGTGAACATACTTTTAAAGTTTGTGATATGATCTTTTGAACTTTTAAAGTTTTACACAGTGACCTGTGACATATGAAGTTTGACATATGACATTTAAACTATGAATTGTAATATGTGACCTGTGAACATAAATTAGTTATCTGTGATCGGCTCTATTTGATCTGTGACCTATGCATAATGATTTGTGACAAAAATTGATATGATGTTTTCTAAGGTGACATTTGGTCACAAATTAATCAATTTATTGATTACACTCCCCTATATAATTGTCACAAACTTTTTTCATACAACCCAACCCAATCCTATCCCAAACGTAGCACCACCTACACCACTAGAACCATCACCCTCACCAAAAAAGATCGCGAACAACTTGCACACCGATAGAACCACTACCACCACTAACATAATTCTGACTAAGCTGCAAAACTTTATCGACTCCCACAGAACCTCATTAACAACCAAAACAAACTCCCATAGTACTAAATAGAGCCACTATAGTGATAAAGAAGTTGTTGTGTGTAGCACTACGCATCTAGTACAACGTAGCTGAATAGAGATGCTCATGTCGCAAATATGATCTTCCAGTGATGGTGGTCTTCCGATAAGAGAAAAAAAGAGGGAGAGAGGAGATGAAGAGAAAGAGAGTAAAGGGAAAAGGGGGAATGTTGATTAGGTTTGGTAGGGTTGAATGGGATGGGGTTGTAAGGTGAGGTTGATTTGTACATTAATTTAATTTTATAGTACGATTATTAATATTAAAATTTCAAATTACGACCTGATTTTTGAATTAAAAATTTTTAAACTTGATTTTTGAATTGTAAAGTTAAAAAACAGGTGTGGATGTAATTTCCACTTCATGTAACCCCTTCCAGCTCACTTTCACATATACTTCAACAAAAGGCATGACACATTTGGCCCACTACCCAATAGGCCCACCCTACTTATACCTTTGAAGCCCACAACCGCAACTGTACTCATTTGGGTTTTTGTTTGAAATTCTGATGTTTTTGATTTAAGTATATTGGTAAAAAAAAAATAGTCAAAAAAAGTGAAGGAAAAGAAATTAAAAAAAGGTGAAAAAAAGAGAAAAGAAAAGAAACAAAAGAAAAATCGAGAATTCCTGACATTGTTTTGCAGGTATATTTTAGTTTGATTGATTAGTACCGCGTCTCAACGAACACGTGAATTTTCTTTCTTGGCATCTCAACGAATCAATACAGTGTCTCCACGAACGAGGAAAGTTACTATTTTATCTATCTTTGATTTATATTACTATTCATTTTAAAATTGCATTGATTAATTTCTATGTGCTGCGGTATTCCTCACTTTTACCTAAAATTCACATAACCGACACCCCAGACCTATTCAAACTCTTATCTTGTTCACTTTTAACCTTTTATGTCATTATGTTGTTGACTGGTATTTGACCCGTGCTTTGTTGTTTTATATAGATCAGCAGTATTAGCTTCCCTTATTAGGATTTACATAATCCCACAAAAAAATAAAAAAAAATCATAACTACCAAAGTCTATATTGTCTTTATGTGCAATTGTTGTTCATTGATCTTCTCATACATTGCATTTAGTCGTTACTACATTGCATGCAATTGTGGGTCGTCATTTTATCATCCCTAGTGCTAATATTTTGACTATGGATCATTCCCAATTTGATGCACTATCAAGACAATTACCCCGACTTGTCGCTAATCAACAAAGTTTCAACCTGAATTAGCGATTGTCCAATCCGATATAGCTGTTACTCGTGAGGAGAGAAAGAATCTAGCTGCTAAAATGAGCCATTTTAAGAAAATCCCTCATTCGACTAACGTTCATAAATCTAAAGTGATCCATAATAGACAATATCATCATCGACAGAGTCATCAATAATGCTTTCGACACGATCGTAGGGATAGGGATCAGGTTCGTGAGCAAGAATGGGGTAATCATCATAGTATTCATTCACTTTCTCGTCATAAGGAGAGTTTCTTTAGAGGCATTAAATTAGATACTCCTACTTTTGATGGCTACTTAGATTTTGAAGTTTTTACTCAATGGACTGTTCTTAAATAAGGGAATCGGTTAGTGATTGAGTATATTGCACAATTTGAGGAATTTCAAACCCAATGTCATGTCATTGAGGATAAGACCACGACTTTGAGTAGATCTAGCCAAG